ACCGCCACCGTAATTCTTCCCTTTTTCTACAACGGAATCTATAGCTGCCACTTCTTTTCCGACGTGTAGTCAAGGTTAGCCACCATTCTTAGAGCTCCACCATCACCGATGCCGCTATCTTCATCTAGTTTTTATGTTTTCTTCTTTTGTTTATTTTTCCAGTTTAATCATCTCCACCTGAACAAACTACGGGGAGGGGGGTAGGGATGTTAGTGATTAGGGTTTCGGCCTAACCCCTTTAGGTTTTAGCCATTAGGCTTTAGGTATTCTCTATATATTCTTATGTAATTGTCTTTTGAGAAATAATCAATCAATTATGTAATAGTTATTTCCAAGGGTGATTACGGTAGAAGAGTGAAAAGCTTAGTGGGAGATGCAGACGGAGACAGAAATATTGGCGTCTTTAACTTTAATGGCGACCGAGCGGACTATTAGTCTGTAGGTGGTTGTGATGTTGCGGCAGTCAGTACTGGAAAAGGTCGGGATAGAAGCAGTGGCGGGGGAGGCGATGGAGGGGCAATAAGGAGCAATGAAGAGGAAGTTGAGTTGGTCGGAGCGGAGGAGGTAGGTAGATCATAGTTCTGAACGATGGGCATACCAATGCACCATGAGAAACGTCGGGAGTTGTTGGTGGCTTCGGAGCACTAGAACTCAATGTGGTGGAATCATTTGACTGAGAATTTGTCAGACATGGGATTTGCTCGGATGAAGTCGTTGAAGCCATTAGGGATTCTTGACGGGAATAGTGATGATGAAACTGACATGTTTTTTATGGAGAGAGAGAGAGAGAGAGAGAGAGAGAGAGAGAGAGAGAGAGAGAGAGAATGTACGGTTACGGGAGAGGATTGGTGGGTAGAATTCTTTTTCTATTATTATTTTTAAATAGAAAAGGTATTAATATAGATTTAAAAAAAGGGAAAAAGAAATGAAGACGGTAAAATGGTCTTTTCAAGTTGTTCAGGGACCCAAAACTCGGAAAACCTTGATTTTGTATCGTCTATACAAGTGGGAAAGTTTTTGGATCCCATGCAATGTTTTTTGAATGCGATAGGGACCAATCTTGCAGTGTTGTGTGTGTGTGTGTGTGTATATATATATATATATTATATATATATATATATATATATATATATATATATATATTAATATATATATATATATATATATATATATATATATATATATATAAGAGTAGATTGAACACAAAGTTTGACACAAACGTTTTATTGACATTAAATACAGCATAGAAATCAAGTCATGTGATTGTGTACATAGATAGTATTATTGTTCAAGCTTACGAGTCCATACAAACACAAGCTTTTTGGATACATTTGGGATCAAGCTCTTGTTGGTCGCAGAGATTTTTACGCTGCGCTTCATTCTGACAATATTGCTTCGGGATATGATATACACAAACCAATGGTTTTGTTGGACTCATAAGAATCTCATCTGCAACAAAAAAAACAATCAATCACCATTTGTATTTATTTAATATTTATTCTCTCAAAATCACACACATTAACTCATCATTTTCATCTCAAGAACAATAATATGGAGATGGAACAAACAAGGACCATACGTTCTATCTAACTAATATCTCATTTATTCTGTTACCTATAATTCTAAAATCATCATTAATCATCTACTTTCCATAATAATAATTAAAAACACAACTTAAAAAATGTTCATATATCAACATATATGTGTAACAAAAATGGTAAAACAGGAATAAAGGAAAATGCCTGTAGCAAAGAGAGCAAAGAGAGTAAAGAGAGTAAAGAGCAGCATCAACATAAATAACCGTAAGTTTTTTTTCCATTATCATATCGAACAATATATGTATATGTAAAGAAACCAGAAATAGTTCCCCTTATATAGGTAAACACCACCTATACATAATTAATTATTGGCAATTTATTCACGTTTTCATATTAGGTGTTTGAAAAATCTAGTCATCCACAAAAAGAAATTTTATTCCAATCTAACATCACATGATCTATATTCAAAGTTTTAAACTTCAAATAATTATATAATTTCAGAAATTTAACAAAATCATATAAAACTAATTTCATAATTATATATCTACAAACACATATTACAATTTAAGAGCATAATTTTTACAAACAATCATATGTGTTTATATAAAGATATAAAGCATTACAATATATTAAGTAATAAAAATTAGGTCTTTTAAAATTACCAAACAAAAGTTAGGTTAAAACCTAACTCATTTGACAAATAACTGATCAATTACAATTACATAATCACATATAATACGTTTCACGAAAATCCCATAAAATCAACAACAATTGATTTTTAACATCTTTAAATCGTAATCTCATTAACTCTTGATTTGGTCTCTTGACTCTATTTCCCCCGCATATTCCTTCATTCAAAAATCGTTCTTGATAAACAAGAATTTAAATTAGAAACTATTCTATTATCCTAATAAAATAAATCAGCAACTTTAATTTTAACAAAAACATTTGAAAGGATGACCCAATTACTTTTGTTTGATTTGAACATTCTTTTGCTTTCCAAAAAAAATTAATTGAATGTGCATTACTATTTATTGCACAAATTAATTACCTTTATGGCCATCATATGGGGCAGTATCATGCAATTGCTTAATTTTCTCTGTTGTAATTGGTGCAATATCCTTCCATGGTTTTGGTTTTGTTATCTTTTTATTAAAAAAAAGGGACATAATATAAGGTAGAGACCAAAAACAACTATAAATACTGAAGAAAATAATTTCACAATAGGTTTATAATAAGAAGTGACATTTGACATAAAAAATAAGTAATAATAGGTTATAAACATTTTTTTTAAGTACTCAAAGGTACTCCCTTAAAAAGTAGATTACTATCTCACGAAAGTACAATGTCATTTTAGAAAAAGTGCAACTTTATCTTTTTCTGCCTTGATCGATATTTAAGACAAATTTGTTTGTTATGGCTGTTAGTTTTGATGATAATTAACATTTTCAAAGCTTTATTGCTATTAAATTTAATTCATTAATTCGTTATGAATTCAAATTTTGGTTAATCTGTGACATTTTTCTTACTATATGCCCATGTGTGTGGAAATATCAATGTACTCAATGAAAGTAGGATGCTAAAATTGTATAACACATAAATAAACAAACCATAATACCTTGCTATAATGGTATAAACACATGTTAATATAAAGTTGTAAACCCAAAGATCAGATTCGTTATATTTGTGTGTTTTTAGGTAAATAATATGTCAAGTCTTTTTTATGATTTCACTATCTTGTTACCAAGTATTTTATTTGTATACTAAGATATAGGTTGATATTTCATCAAGTATTTGGTTATATATACTTTCTCAAATTTTGGAAATATGTGAAATCTAAGTTCTAAAAATGTTCATCTCAAACTGTTTTCACCATGAAAAATCTAGAAATTGCCCAGGATCTAGGAACAAGTTTGGAATGTTTTTTTTAAGAGGGATTTTGAAAAATCTGTAAGTATTCTAAGAAAGTTAAAAGCCTTTTGTGAATAATCCATCTCCGATTTCACCCTCTTCCTCACTTGACTCACTGAGTCAAATCATTCTGACAATCAGCTACATCTTTTGCCTCCGCCTCTCAATAGACTCATATACCTTCATCGATCGAACTCCGCCTATTCGTTTGTGTAGTTTAAAGTTCCACCACTGGCCTCCTTCACTACCCTCCGTCCGCTGCTGCGGTCGGCCTCTTGGCAGGTTGCAAAGTTTTTTCTGTCATTCTCCACCTTTTCTTTGCGCTTGAAAATCATGTCTTCATGATTAGGCACATCATCTTTATTTGATATCATACTAAATAATATAAATGTTTATATATGTAATATGTTGCTTTTTTTAAATTGATTTGTTTATGTTGATTAATGATTGAGTTTAGGGATAAGTGTTGGAACCGACCAGAATCGGAACCGGTTTTGCAATATTATAAGAACCGGGAGCCGGACCACCGGTTGCAGGTTTTGGTTACTTTTCCAAACAAGAACCGGTTATAAATAATGTGAAACTAATGATGATTCAATTCATATTACTCACATGTAGTAAAGTTTTCTTCTTAGAAAACATAATATTCAATAATCAAGTTTGCAAACATTGTTTAATATTCCTACATATAATTCAACCAATCAAGTTTCAACCAAAAGAACAATTCAATATCACTTCTACGATGCTACCAAAGTAAACTAGCTAACTATCGTCTACTTCTCCATCATCCTTTTTCCCATTGCTTTGTTATTGTGTACAACTTCCACAATATCTATATATAGGGATGAGCATAGGGATCGGGGAACCGGTCCCGGAACCGGAACCAGTACAGGAACCCGATGGAACCGGTCGGTCCAGGACCGATACTATAATTTCGTCAATTTTTGGAACCGGGAACCGGACCGGATAACTCTCTCAAATTTTGAAACTTGCATAACTCACTCAGTTAATTTTTTTTTACTTGAATTTTTTTCCTACATGTAGATTATGATTTGTAGTTAAGTTTAGACTATAAAAACGATTGATTTGGTTAAAAATTGAATGAGTTACAAGCTCCGCAAGGAAGGGTGTCAAATCAGATTTTTTATTTTTTATTTTTTTATTTCAGCCATTAAATGTAATCTGACTTTGTTGTTCAAATATGCATAAATACTCAATTTAACTTGTTTTGGCCTGAATCATTTTCCTACATGTAGATTATGATTTTTAGTTAAGTTTAGACTATAAAAACGCTTGATTTGGTTAAAAATGAAAAACATAAGACGGTAAATCTAATAAGTTGTAATCTAATAAGCCGTCGAGGTTTTGACAATGAAATGTTTTCGCAAAATAATAGCAAATGAATGTGTATATGAAAACAAAAAAACTTCAATAAAAAATTAGATTAAATGATTTAACACTGTTACTTCAATATCTATATTTACAAAAAAACAAACTATTTGCAGCTAACGGCAACCGACCTTTGAAGATAGTATCGACATAAATACTAACATGCTGATTGGTGAGGTATACGAATGTTTCATTTGGGAGGTTGAGAGCTATATGTGGCGGGACATCGGTTTTGATAAGGACACATGGAATAACGTTTCTGAAGCCGAAATGGTTGGCATGTTCCAATATCTTTCAGTAAATTATTTTTGAAGTTATATATTTAATATTGTTTAATTTTGATTTATTTTTAATTTCTCTATTTTTTTTGTAGAGGTGGTTTGATTTTGGAGCGATTACAAATGATCGCATCGCTCCAACTTATTGGGTGAAACTGAACAATTGGATATGTGCGTGGTATAGAGGCCACAAAAATATTGCAAAAAACCATTTGACTTGTTTTGTAGGGGATGTGGAGGCAGCAAAAGCTCAAGCCCCTACGGGTATGGATATGCAGCATTGAAATGCTGCTATTGACCATTTCTTAACAGAAAAGCATAAAAAACGATCCGCCGGAAACAAAGAATGCCGAAAAAGCAAGTAGTTAAGAATCGTGTAGGGACGTCCATCTACGATAGTGTTTGTTTTAAGAAAGTTAAAATAATGGTTATTCAGTTATAATATATTTTTTAATGTTTATTCAAGTATAACATATTTTGTAATATTAAACATAATTTGAATAGACTTGAAACATTTCATGGTGCGCATGTGAATAAAAAAGGTGAATTTGTTGATTCTTTAGTTGAAGACCAATATGTAAGTTATTATTATTTAAAAATGAAGTAAATTGTTGGTTTTTTTTTGTGTTAGTTTTAACGCATATTAACAATCTTTGTAAAATACAGAATGTCTTAGTTACTGAGGTTGCTCTACAGACTCATCACATAGCCAACTCTAGTTGATTGGATCGCAATATTTGAGAAGGTGTTGGGTACACAAAGGGGGCATGTGAGAGACATTAGGCCTAAACCTTCTTCAACTGCAGGTACAAATGCTCAATCCCAATGACAGTCATAGTCACAAGCACCACAACCAACACATGTACTTGTTAAATTCTTAAAGAATTTGGTAGCTTTGTTATATTGTTAAGAAGTTGATGTATTTGTAGTAATTTTTGGTAGCTCGGTAATTTGTTAAATTGTTAACGACTTAATTGATTTGGTCGTTTAATAGTTTGTTAAATTGTTAACGACTTAATTCATTTGATGCTTTGATGGTTTGATAGTTTGTTGAATTGTTAATGACTTAATGTGTTTGTGACTTAATTGTAGGATGTTGATGTGAATGCTTTTCTTCAAAACCCGACATTTGTGACGACCATTGGAGACATTATTTGATCGTTTAAAAACCACGTCAACAACGATGGGGAAGACGAAGACACATAGTATTTCTTGTTTTTATGTATGGATGATGTTATTTTGAATTTATTAGATATTTATGGATAATATATTAGATGTTTATTTGGGATTTATTAGATAGTTTATGTAATATGGTATGTTTGATGTTTTATGTAATGTGGTATGTATTTATTTATGTATTTTTTTTATCAAATATGCATTTTATAATATATATATATATATATATATATATATATATATATATATATATATATATATATATATATATATATATATATATATATATAAACTAATATCATAAAAAATATGTTTTTTATCCTTAAAAAACATTAGCAGCGACGCCTTTATGAACGATGAAGACCAATTGCGACGATCAATAACTCCGGGAACCTTAGCTGGAAAAACGCCGACCGGTAGCCAGAATTTTATTAGAGACGACAAACAAATATTAGAGACGACATGTATTAGAGACGACGCTATTCGCGACGACAAACGAGTATTAGCTACGAGTAATAACGACGGCCTTTTAGCGGCGACAAGTCATCGCTGATACCTTTAGCGACGACAATGGGAGTCAATTGTTACGACTTTTGTCATTGCTAAAGGTTACATTTTTTGTTGTGATATAAAAAGCTCACAGTTGGGATCGGCCAACAAGCACTCGTCTATACCGAAACTGAAGTACCTAGTCTCAGTTTAAAACTCAAAACCGGTCTGATCCGATTTACTTATTCACGGTAGAAGGAAAAATATATATTTTACCCTAAAGAATAATAGTAAATTTTCAGTATTTTGTGAAAGAAGTAGTATAAATAGCATTCTTTATCTTAAAGTTTATTTTATGCATGGTAGATGGACCAAATACTCAAATAGCATCCAAAAGGTTTTCTGAATTCTCTTGCTCTCTTACTTCTCACATGGTTCACACGAGAAATGCGCACAATAAGATTGTGTAAACAAACACTTTCCACACTCAACCAACGGCTACACACGCACATAAACATGTATCCACGGATATTCTCATCATTTTGACTCTATTAGGGGAAAAATATTTTAAAATTTAAAAGATTTATATGCGTCAAGTACTCAATTTCGACCTATTGACTTGTGTATTAATTTGGTGACTTTGTTTTCAGCTTTTTGCCTCTAAGACGTATGAAAAGAAAACATATCATATCTAACGGCTCAAAACTCATCCACATATATTTCTAATGAATCCAACTTCTTAAATAATTTTATTTGAATAAATAAACAATTATCATATCATATTCAAGGCATTAATTATATGAACATATTGCGCTAAAAAACTAATATTCCGGGACGAATCTATATCGACTTTTAATCAAAACCCTTTGACCAACTTGGCCAAATTCCATAAAAGATTAAAAAAATTGGTTTTTAAGTTTTTTAAAAATCACTTTTAATCAAAACCCTTTAAAGTTTATTTGGTATTATATAAACCAATTTTCTCGTATCCAAATAAACTTTAAACTTTTTTAGGGAAAAGTAAATTAATGGTAACAATTAAACAAAAAATTGTAAGAATTATAAGGAACCATTGATTATAAATTTAGAGTAAATTACACGAATGGTCTATGGTTTAGAATAATTTGCACGTTTAATCTCTAACTTATTTTTTTTAACTTGGAAAATCTTTATTATTTTTTTTGTTACGTGTTTGGTTATCTGTCTTACCTAAAAAGATTATTTTCCCTTAATTTTTTAATTTATTTAAATAAATACACACCTAACCCTACCTCTCTCATCTTACCTTCTCTACTCCATCATTTTTCTCTTTATAAATGATAATATGTTTTAGGTAAGACAGAGATCAAGTGCGTAACAAAAATAAATAGCAGGGACCAAACACGTAACAAAATAAAACAACAAAGATCTTCCGAGTTAAAAATATAAGTTAGAAACCAAACGTAAATATTACCAAAACTATAGGGACCATTCTTATATTTTACTCATAAATTTATGATCGTAACAACACAAATGGTGTTTTTTTTCTTTAAAAAAAAAAAGATAAAACTTCAAAAATGGTTCCTATGGTTTTCAAAAATATCAAGTTTAGTCTCTAAGTTCAAAAAATCTCACAGATGGTCCCTGTGATTTCAAAACTTTTAACAAATAGTTATTTTCGTTAATTCCGTTAGCTTTTAGCCGTTAAGTGAATGATATTTCTATCATTTCACTGCCACATGGACCATTTATGAAGATTTGTCTTATTAAAAAAAACTAATTATTTAATATTAAAGGGTCCCCCCCTCTCTCTCTCTCTCTCTCAAAAACATCGAACCACTTTCTCCATTAGAATCGAAGCTGTTATTGCTCCTTCTGCCATTATCACCACCAGGTGACACCGGGCAAGGTAAGTGACTTCATGCCTCTACCCGATTAAAACACACAGATCCACCGTCATCCTTTCCCTTCAGCAACCCCTTTATTTCGATTGAAAACCTGTTAAGTGAAGGGTATTTAGACGGTGGTTTTGCGAACAAAAACCTGTTAACCCCTTTACTTCATGCCTCCACTCCGATCAAAACACACAGATCTACCGTCATCACGTTTCTCCCTGCAACTTCAAGGGATTCACATACTTTATCTTCAAACAAAAACCCAGAAATAGAAGTGAGAAATGATTCGAGAATTATTTATGGTAACAAAAATAATGATTTAAGAAGGGATACATATTGAAACCATCCAAAGACGCGAGAATTATTTCACCAGGGATGAAGTTGAAGAACTTCTTGCCGGGTTTGGAGTTCACGAGGGAGCCTGTGATGAATCCAGATACCTTCACAACACTAGAGAGAATCCTGGTTGCTACGCCTTCTGACATCTTTGTCAATCTCTTAACCGTGAAACAAAATGAAATTGAATAGATACGAAATTAGAAGTGTTCAATGGATAAAAGTAATGTTGTAGAAGAAAACAAGATGATACCTCTTCACTCTCTTCAAAGCTTTTGGACTAACTTCAGCTTTTGAACCGGGTTTCGTCCTCTTCTTCAAAAACTCATTTCCCCATTTTAATCGATCCACCGTCACATCCCCACACCCCAAAATTTCCTTGATTAACTGATTTGATCCCTCAACAATCATCCTCGCAACAGACCCACTATAATCCTCAACATTTGGCGCCAACGTCATCCAATACGTTGCGACTTTAGCCTCCACAGAACCACCATTCTCCACTGCCACCGTTGCTAACACACTGCTCTTGACCTCTTTCACCGAAAATGCACTATACTCTTCTAAAACCCGATCGAACTCCTCTAACTCCTTCTCCAGACCTTTACTCGAAATCGTTAGCCCGTAATTTAACAAACTCTCATATTCGAAATCCGAATCGTTTCCGGATTTTGTATCGGAAGGTACGCGAAGAGTGAAGAAATAGTGTGATCCGTCTGATTTCGTGTTCTGTGGCTGTTGAGGGCTCGATTTGAGCTCGGATTGCGGGAAGCAGGCTTAAGAGCGGTGGTTTTGGTGTTATTGCTGAAACAAGCACACACAGAGAGAGAGAGAGAGAGAGAGAGAGAGAGAGAGAGAGAGAGAGAGAAAAGGGGGTGGGATGAAATGGACAGAAATACCGTTTAATATCAAATAATTAAATAATTAGTTTTTTTTTTATAAATAAGACAAATCTTCATAAATGGTCCATGTGACAGTGAAATGATAGAAATACCCTTCACTTAACGGCTAAAATCTAACGGAGCTAACAAAAAAGACTATTTGTTAAAAGTTTTGAAACCATAGAGACCATTTATGAGGTTTTTTGAGTTTAGGGACTAAACTTTATACTTTTGAAAACCACACAGATCATTTTTAAAGTTTTGTAAAAAAAAAAAAAAAAAAAAAAAAAGCTAGATGCATAATTTAATCTGACGCTACTATGATGCCACGTGTCCTAAAACAACCAAACCTCAAAAGAAAAAATAAAAAAGAAATCAAATTTATCTCCAAAACCAAAATTCCCCCACCACATAAAACATCACCTTCCTCCCCCAAAACCATCTCAACTAAAAGAAAGAAAAAATCATAATTTTCCTTCGACTTAATCCGTTTGCAGAGTGAGTTCGAGTTTATCTCCTGGAAATTCTCCAAATTTCCAGGACATAAAATAAAAAATAAAAATAAATGATCAGACTAAGTGTCTACTGCTCTTTACTCTCACCTCCAAGTCAAAAAGTCAAAGACCACCAGAGAATCTCTCCGGCGTCGTTTTGGCAGCAGAAATGGAACCGAAGTTCGAGTCTGAGTTCAAGTTCGAGTTCGAGTTCATCAACTCAGAGGAGTGTTACGACTATTGCTATGGCTTTAAAAAAAGACGAAATGGATGGAAGATTTAGCAACTTACCGGGTCAAAGCTGGGAACCCGGGTTGGAAATGGAAGTCCCTTTTGAACAAAGGCCGGTATGTATTTAAATTTTTTTTTTTTATGTTTTATGCTCTCATTTTCACATGAAAAAAGCAAAAATAAATTAATAATAACATACTTTTATTTATTTATTTATTATTAGGTGAATGAATACTCATCTTTGAAAGAAGGACCATTATATTCATGGGGAGAATTGAGTCCACGATCTTTTTTCATACGAGTTGGAGGTCTTTGGTTGGTTACTTTTACTGTTCTTGGACTCCCTGTTTCAGCAGCAAGCTTTAATCCTTCAAATGTAAGATATAATTTTTTTTTTCTTCTTCTTGTTTATAAATATATTTACAAACTAAAAAAAAATATGGGTTTTTATTTTTATTAATTCTTAAGTATGAAAAAACCAATGATTTTTTTGTGCATCAAGTTCACTAAACTCTTTTTCTTGTATTGATTGTACCGATTAACCGATATGACTTGGCCGATCATAATGCTGTGTATTGGATAACAATTTACAAAAGTTTTGGGACTCTAAATGTATAAATTTTTTCTGTAAGGACCAAATGTGGAAATTTTTTAGTAGATTACAATAGCATTAACAACATTTTGTTTTGGTTTCCATGCAGGATCCTTTACGATTTTTACTAGCGGCAGGAACTGGAACGCTTTTTCTTGTATCATTAGTTGTCCTCAGGATTTATCTGGTATGTATAATAAATATATATCTCATTTTTTAAATAAATCTAAAACTACTCCAAATTATATAAGTTTCATGGTAAATTTATATATAAATTTAAAATTTATATATATTTAGGGATGGAGTTACGTTGGTGACAGACTGTTATCAGCTGTGATCCCATACGAAGAGAGTGGTTGGTATGATGGACAAATGTGGGTAAAGCCTCCCGAGGTAAGGGCAAAATAGTCATTTTACATACTTTGATCTTGGACTAAATTTATAATTTGCTTCTTTTCTTTGCAGATTCTGGCGCGTGATAGGTTATTGGGGTCATACAAGGTAACCAAAAGTTTTAAGAAAAAAAAATATATAAATTTTTTAATTGTAATTCATTAATTAAATATTTGTTTTTTTTTATATAAATGTAGGTGAAACCAGTGATAAAATTGTTGAAACAAACCCTAGTGGGAACAGGGGTGTTACTTGTGACAGCTGTTTCATTGATTATTTTTGCTACACCAGTTGAAGATTTCTTCCAAAAAACATTTGCAAATGAAAATTATGTTGCAGCTACAAAGATCAATGCGAATATGAGGTAGGTTAAAACAAGGATTATATACATATAAGAAATATCAATATACATAGCATTTTGTCAACATTATAATTTTCTAGATTTTTTAAAGTAAAATGTCCTAATAAGAAAAAAAAAAGATTTGTATTTTGCAATGCTATGAATATGATTTAGTAGATTTTGTAAAGTACGATAACTTACTAAGAAAACAAAATGGAAGTAAGTAAGATGCTATTATAATTATACCCAAACAAATGAAAGTACTATAGGTAAAAAAATTAAAATACATTACCCAAAATATATATATAAAGTAATAAAGTGATATTTTTTTTTAATATTACAGCAAAGAGGAGCTTTTAAGATTGCCGTTGGAAGTGAAGGCAGATGATAAATTGGCAGCTGCTGCTGCTGAGGCGGCTGATGGAAGGCCGGTGTACTGCAGGGACAGGTACTACCGTGCACTAGCGGGCGGACAATACTGCAAGTGGGAGGATCTACTCAACTGATTTAAACAAGAATATAGTAAAAAATATATATATTCGTGTTATATATATAGTATATAGTATATGGTATATACACCTTGTTTGATTTTTATGTTGAATTATGTGAAAAAATATATATACGACAAGTAGATTGCCATTTTGAGATGTTAGTTGGAGAGACTTGATGGACTTTAAAGTTTAAACTGCAAAGGCATATAAGTTGTCAAGAAATGAATAAATATAAATTTTATGAATTATAAATTTTGATTTTGGATAATCAAATGGGTTATTTTTGAACTATGAAGTAGTTGTTTCTCAAGTTTTCATTTATATATCAACATTTTTTTCTGAAAAAGATGGCTTTTTTTTTTTTTCATGTTTTTTTTTTTTCTAAAAAACCCTCTCGTTGTTTTCTCTGGGTTAAACCTTATCTTTATTTTTTTTCCTGAAAAAGACATTGTATTTTCTTATTTTTCCAAAAAAAACACTCAACTTTGATTTTTTTTCAGAAAAAAACACTCAACCTTCTAACTATTTTCAAATAAACTCTCTAATGTTTTAGTTTTTTTTTTTTTTTTTTTTTTTTTGAAAAAACCATCACATGTTACAAGTTTTTTTGGAAAAAAAATGACAAATGAAAAAAATGCAAGGCGTTTTTTAGGAAAAAAACAAAGTTGAGTTTTAATCCGAAAAAACACAAAATATAAGATATTTTATGTGATTATGCTAAAAGAGTCAAATCGGAAAAAATAGAAAAATGCCAAGATCTTTTTCCCTTTTCAAAAAACACAATATATATATATATATATATATATATATATATATATATATATATATATATATATATATATATATATATATATATATATATGATATTTTGTATTTTAAAAAATTACCCATGTTATCCATATACAAAGCAATTCTCATTGTTATAATTAGTTACATTTTCCAAATTACAATGTAAACTACTTTAAATTAAAAAATAAACTAAATATACGTTGTATATCATTAAATGCACAAAGTGGAATCACCATCTTCTTTACATTACAAGATTTTTGTTAGACATAATTTGTAAATGCAAACTACTTTAAATTAAAAAAAGAAAAAAAAAACATACAACTTGATTACACAAGTCTTTTCCACCAATTATATATTTCAGACATTTTTCCTTGAAATATATCTCTAATTGTTTGTTTATGTCTCTTGGATTCTTCTATATCTAAAGTTCTGTATGCAAGAGCTAGCAAATAGATGGCTGGATGAACCCTCCTACATGTCAAAAGAATTGTTTATCAAGTTTTTAAGGAAAAAAAATTATACACCCATATTCAATTTTTTATAAAAATCAAAAGAAACTATTAGAAAAGATTATTTTTTGAGCTTTTTTCTTAAATTGTCATGTTTGACAAACCAAAAAGTAGCTAATAAGCTAGCTTTTTAAACAGCTATTTACAATAGCTTTTCAGAAGCTTTTTTAAATTGTCCCGGATATACCCTTAATTAGTTATAAAAAAAACATATCCTTCTAAATGTCTTTTTTTGTCATTTTATATTTTCCAGTTAGTTTATCGGCTAGTTTTTACCAAACATCATTTTTTGTCAGCTAACTTTTCAGTTAACAACTAGTTTTTCAGCTAAAAACTAGTTTTTCAGCTAACAGTCAGTTTTTCAGTTATCAGCTAGTTTGTCAAACATAGCCAAAATGATCTAGGATTAAGAATACCTTTCAAAAGGTTGACTTAAGTCAACACCATCCCAATACCTCTGAGATGAAACATTTTTTCCGTTTTTACCCCTACCATATGTCTCAACATACCAACCACCAATATCATGCAACCCTGAACGAGGCTCAAATAACCAATATTTACTTGGAGGTAATCGAGCTCTTGTGCATCTACACTCACAAACAGAAGCTTTTTCTCCCAATTGAAACCAATGCATATGTTTCACCATTAATGTCCTATGCTTCATAACCACATGACTCTTTACACCACAATTATTATGAAAATAACAACACCCTTCTTCATCACTACTCCCTAATCCAATAATCGTTCCCAAAAACATCTTATCTTCCTCATCATCTTCATGTAGATTGAGATAAACATGTATATGATCTTGATATTCTTCATTTGATGTGTCAATGGTGGAAGTAGAACTCTTTGGTGGGATTCGATTTGCAATTGCAACAATCTTTCCTGATACATGCAACTCAAGATCTTTGTATGCATCACATTGTGACCTAATTTGAGTTCCCAATTCATGAGTTTTGAATCCTACTTCCAAATTCTCAATTTTGGAGGCATTTGGTGATAATTCAGGGACCCTTTTGGCTATGCATACTTTCCCAAAAAGGTCACGTCCTGAAACTAAATGAAGGATTTCAGAAGTTCCATGGAAAGATCTTTCATCAGCTTCAAAACAATCAGGGAGGAAATCCATTGAATGGATTAGAGGACCATGGTAGGCTGTGTGTATGGCTGAATAAAAGTCGTTTTCCAGTATATCAAAGTAGGTTGTTCCATTTGCTATTCTTTTCTCTGATACGATGTTGTTTATGGCGTATCTATACCATTTTAACCATTCTACAACTTCCATTTGTTGTCCTGTTGCTTCATGGGATTCGTATGTGTACATTGATGAACCTTGTCTTGAGGGTTTTTGGAGAATTGGTTTTTGAGATTGTAGATAGTTGTCGTAGTGAGCTCTCTTTTGAATGTCTGATAGTATCTGCGTGTAATTAGTTGAAAGAATCAAGCTCCTTTTTCAGATTTCAAGGTTATTTAGTTTTTTTATGTTTGCTAGAATCAATGAGAAATCAAATTCATAATCAAAACATACATAGAATAAGCACATAACAATTTCAAACTGATTACAAACTACAAACAGGTAAGAAACATTACAGTCGAAATATTTGCATACCTCATAAGCTGCGAGAATTTGAACGAATCGGTGGGAATTAGAAAATCCATCGGGCGATTGAGAAAGATCGGGATGAGTTTCCTTTGCCAATTTCCGAAAAGAGGCTTTAATTTCCGCAAAAGAGCAAGACTCCGCAACCCCTAGGAGGTCGTAAGCGTTCCTGCCGGACAATTCAGGTGGCTCCGCCGACTCAGCGCTGGTGCTGAGTGCCCGATTATGAGTGAAATAATATAGGAAGCCGGTGATGCGATACGTGTGCAGGGGAGATGAAAGAAATGAATGATAGCGGTTGTGGTGGTGGTGGTGACGACGACATAGGTTAAGGAAAGTGGAGTAAGTGCCGTTTACCGCCATTCTAACGACTGTTTCTACCGGCTTGGGGCAGCGACTGGAAGAAGGAGAGGTTGCTCTTTTTCCCGGTAGTTTCAGTTTGGCCCCTGTATTTTGAAAACGTAATGCCCTTAAGTTTATCAATTGTTAACAGTTTTATTCTAAATATAAATTTTTGTTCATTAATGTCTGAATTTTGTAAAGTCCATTTATTTGTTTATTTCTTTTCACATTTAGTATGTCAGCCACCATCTGCCACACACTTAGCTAGCACCTTACAACTAAATTAGAAGGATTTTGATGCATTTACTGCTGATACAAAATACTAAAAGCTTTTAAATAGAATATTATATATATATATATATATATATATATATATATATATATATATATATATATATATATATTGCACTATGTTTGGATGAAAATTTTGTACCGGATGTATACGGATTAATATTTTGGATCGGATATGTCTAAATATATTATTAAGTCTGGTTAATATTTTGAACTATTTTTCTGCAAAATAAAGTTTCGTAACAGTTTTTATACATGTTATATTGCTTTTTTATAATTTTAATGTTCAAAGGAAAATACAATTAGTGGCGACATATGTATTAGTGGTGACATTTTTTTTGTGGCCACAGTTGGCATTAGCGGCAACAGTGAGCATTAGCGGTGACAAACGGAACAATTACAACGAAACAACAACGGCGACCTTTTAGCGGTGACACGTCGTTGCAAAAACCTTTAGCGGCGACGTTCCCGCTTTTCGTGATTGTCGCATGCGCATTTCTTGTAGTGAAAATATGGACCGATATAATATAATTTAAAATTATGAATCTTATATCTCAAAATTCTATAAATTATTTAATTAGGATAAAATATTTTTCATATGTAATAAATAATTTTTGTGTTTTAAACGTTTTCACCACACATTTGGATCAACCTCAGCATGCATGAAGAGACATTCCATGTATGAAATGGTCCATGCAGAAGTTCAACATCGGGCATCAGCACACACATCAATTAATTAGCCTCAAGCATCTATAGTAATTACACCTATCGTCTCTTTCTCACTACCATTACCACAAAAATGGCTTCTGGTTCACCCTCAAAGTACATGTCAACCTCCAAAGAGTATCCTCTTCATCTCCATGGTTGGCTGCGAATACACAAAGATGGCCGATGTGAAAGATTCATCGGAAACGATATCATCCCGACTGGAACTGATCCCATAACCGGCGTCCAATCAAAAGACGTCATTATTTCACACCAATCCAATCTTTTCGTAAGGCTTTACATTCCCAAAACCATCGTCGACATCCCTAACCGGAAATTCCCAACTCTGATGTATTACCACGGTGGTGGCTTCTTGACTGAATCCGCCGCTTCTTCCACCTACCACCCCACACTTAACTTGATCACGGCAGAATCCAACGTGATTGCGGTGTCTGTAAACTACAGGTTGGCTCCGGAATATCATATACCAGTTGCATACGAGGATTCATGGGAAGCAATCAAGTGGGTGGCTACCCATGTTAAAGGAAATGGTCCGGAGTCATGGTTAAACGCCCATGCTGATCTTCAGAATGTGTTCTTTGCTGGAGATAGCGCAGGAGCCAACATCGCACATAACATGGCTATCCGGGTCGGGTTGAACCAAGTAAAGGTTGTTAACCTAAAGGGTGTTATTATGATCCACCCTTATTTTGGTGGAAGAGAATTTATTGGAGAAGAGTCTAAACATGAACAACACAAAGCATTCATGAATCAGATGTGGCTTTTGGCTAATCGATTAGGGATTGGGTTAGATGACCCGTTGTATAATCCGGTCATGGACCCGTGTGTTTCAGCTTTCGGGTGCTCCAAGATTCTTTTGTGTGTTGGCGGGAGGGATAAACTAAGGGGTAGGGCCCTACTCTATAAGGAGTTGATGGAGACGTGTGGGTGGAAAGGCTTTATTGAGTTGATGGAGAGCAAAGGGGAGGGCCATGTCTTCTTTTTGTCTAATACTTCATGTGAAAATGCTCGTATCTTACGTAAAAAGATTTGTAACTTTATCAATTCGATCAGCAGCAAAATCTGAAAGTTATATGTCTATTAATCTATTAACTATTATAAAATATTGACAATGATAATTACTACTATTGCTTAATTTTTTAAGCCATGCAAAAGGTTAAACATATATCTATAATGCATGATATATCTCTTATACGTATCAAGACACAACCCTTACCTCTTTATATGTTTCCTATCTTTCTTTATCTTGACATTTATTTTTCATTTGAATGCGGATTTAATCCACCCAATTTGTAGTAAAAAACACACCAAACATCGCATTGTTGAATGAAATTAGTATTGCCTTGATGATAAATAATTGATAAGTGATAGGTCAATTGAAGCATGCTCATTGCAACTTTTATTTCAAATTAATGATGATTTTTTGTGTTATCTGTATAAGCCATTGAGATCGTAAAATCTAAGGGGGTGTTTGGCTTAATTTTTGAGAAGTCAAAAGATCTTTTAGAAAAAGATAGAAGCCAAAAGATGTTTGGCAAAACAATTTTAAAACCTACTTTTGGATTTTTGATAGAAAGAAAATTAACTTTTTGAAAAAATCAGGAAAACTTGAATTTTTGCAACTTTTCCAAAAAGGACTTTTGGTCCTTATAAAGCTAAGTCAAACACCCCTTAAATATGAATAAAAACTTAGAATCTCTTTCGTGTTTTAGGAGGAAGAAGCCATTGAAGATTCATATAAGAAAATAGTGAAGAAACTAGAACAAAAAATAAAGATAGGGAGCAATTGTGTGTTATCTTTATAAACCATTGTCTTTTTTTATACTTTATATATTTACTGATTAGTTATGTTGCTTCAACTTAAATGATCTTTAAAGTTAGAGATTGAAGCTGGATTATCAAGTTAAGAGCCACCATGATGTAAGTATTTCTTGTAACAAATTTTCTCTTACATCATGTGATTTTTTACTTTCTTTTAAGTCTTGTGTCTTACTATGGAACCTATTACATCCACAAGAAGAGTTTCTTAAAATGCATCGGTTTTTTAACGACTGGATTTTGGAAGCAATGAGAAGCACAATTAAAGTTTATTGTCTTAACTTTCATTTCTTATAAAGATTATTTATAAGAATTTTTGGATACTAGATTCAAGTAGGATGCTAAATAAACAAATCAAATTTTGAATCTATTTTGTTGTTATTTCACTAACTAGCATATGATATTAGTTACCTTTGTTTTGGTTTGATTGTTTTAGCAACGTTTACCTATGGAGGCTTGGATATTTTTAATTCATCTACTTTATGTTGTTTAAGATGTGACAATCTCTATCACGAATATGATTAATGATCTAGATCTTTCATATGACCATAGTTGCTAAATTTCTTTTCAATACTTCTCAAATTCTTGTTGCCTCCGGTAGATTTTCCAAAAGCAAAGACCATGTAAAGCACTTGTAGATAGCTACATGAACTATCAAAGGTGATATAGCATGTAACTTTCTCATGTACATATTATTATTGGCTTTTTTATTGTTTAGTTTAGGAAACTAAACCATCTTGGCCCATTGGGCTCGTTTTTTTAGCCTAACCTTCAAGGGCATACTTTACAACCTAACATATAAGCCCATTCAACCAGTTAAAGCCAATAAAGTGTGGTTTCAAATATCTTCTTACCTATTCCATACTTCCATTGTTACATATTACACATGTAATCATACCAAAGTGTTTTTTTTTGGTCGTATGAGACCAGAGACAGACAATCCTTTAACGAACCCGATCAATATACGGTCCAAAACTGGCCAATTTTAAATCTTTTGGACACATGTGTCTTGATTTTTGTCTTTTAGATTTTCTTATTTCTTGTGGTTTTTAAATTCTTGTAATTTCATTTGTTTATTTTTTTTTTTTATAAATTTTAAATCTATCAAAGAAAAAATCGATTTGTAATATTATAGTACTTGATATTGTATGAATTATTGGAGTAATAATTGTTGTAAAATTGATAGTATTGGTTGGTCCAGTTTCCGACCAATATTAAGCTTGCCTGCCACAGCCACATATAATTTACTACTAGGTATATGCATCTATGCATTTGTGTTCACCATTGAGGTTTTATAATAATCATTAAGTTTTGGAAACTACGTGCGTAATATTAAAGTAGTTATTATTTCCAAAGTCGTTATTATTTTTGCAGACGACAATCAGTGAAAATATATATGATATTTAAGATTTTTTGGAAAAATCAAAACGAAGTCGTTAATTGCGGAAATTTTGATGCTGACTAAAAAAAATAACATTATCAGTAATATTTATTTTCTGAAAAATATGTATTATCTTATTATGTTGACCGTGAAAATCAAAATCTGTATTACGAAAAACAAAATTCTTACGGGGAAAATCAATACATTTCGAGGAGGTTATCTTATAAGAAGATTGTTTTGTAAACAAAAATTATCATAACCAATTGTCTATTTTTTAAAAACAAAATTTTCACTACGCTGTTGAGATAATATGAGTTCAATCATTCTAGATGAGTATTTTATTGTTCTTTGTACTGGTGTTTCATGATAGTTAGAAAATTGGGAATTGAAATCAATACATTTTCGAGGAAATTATCTTATAAAAAGATTGTTTTGTAAACAAAAATTATCATAACCAATTGTGCTTTTTAAAAACAAAATTTTCACTATGTTATTTCTTCCAATTTTACTAACAATTCTTTACACCTTACCCTTTCTACTCTTGTTGAGATAACATGAGTTCGATCATTCTAGATGAGTATTTTACTGTTGTTTGTGCTGGTGGTTCATGACAACTAGAAAATAGGGAATTGATATATGTTAGAAAATGGGGAATTGATATACGTTGATGGCAGTTAGACTACTGATTGTTTTAGTAGCAATTCATAAATTTGTTATTCACAAAGTGGATGTTAAAACAACATTCTTAAATGGTGACTTGAAGGAATAGGTATATATGAAACAGCCTGGGGTTTTATTATGCCTAGAAATGAGCATAAGATGTGCAAGTTGGTTAAATCGTTGTATGAGCTTAAGCAACCACCAAAACCATGGCATCAAAAGTTTGATGATGTTGACTTGTCACATGGCTTCAAGTTGAATCAATTAGACAAGTGTATATAGTACATTTGATGAGTATGGTAAAGGAGCTATCATATGCTTATGTGTAGATTATATGTTAATCTTCGGTACTGATCAAAGGGAAGTTGACATGACCAAAGAGTTTTTATGATCACACTTCTCCAATGAAGGATATGGGGGAGGCAGAAATTATTCTTGGAATAAGAATAAAACGTGGGCATCAAGGAATCTCAATTTGATAGTCTCATTACTCTGAGAAAGTGCTTAAAAAGTTTAAACTTGTAGATTGTTCTCATGTGAGTACTCATTTTGATCCAAGTATGAAACTTATGACAAATAGTGGAGAAGCTGTTTCACAACTTGAATATTCAAAGGGCATTGGCTGTTTGATGTATGTTATGACCAACACAAGACCTGATATTGCGTTTATTGTAGGAAAGCTTAGTAGATTTAATACCAATCCTAGTACTCATCACTGGCGAGCAGTAAAGAGAGTGTTGAAGTATCTTAAGAAAACTATGGACTTTGGTTTGACTTATGTAAGGTTCCTTCGCTTATTGGAGGATCAGATGCTAGCTGGATCACTAATGTTGAGGACCACTCTTCTGCAAGTGGTTTGGTGTTTCTTCTTGGTAGAGTTGCCATTCCATGAGCTTCTAAGAAACAAACATATATCACAAATGCAAATATTTAATATGAATTTGTAGCCCTTAAAGTTTGTGAAAAAGAAGCAAAATGGTTGAGGAATTTAATATTTGAAATTCCTTTATGGCAAAGCCTATATCACCTATTTCTACACATTGTGATAGTGTTGCCACCTTGGCAAAAGCATACAGTCAAGTGTATAATGTAAAGTCGTGACATTTGGTGTAACGTCCCAAAAATTAAGACAAAAAATTTCAATTTTTAGAATAATAAAACCATCATTCAAAACGTGTTCGTAAAACCATAATAAAATCAAAGTATGAACAAACATCTAAATACATCAGAGTCAAATAAAATGTGCAACAATATGGTGGGTGCGATGCGATCACCCCAAGCTCTTCCCCTTTGATCTGGAAGTACCTTAAACATAAACTGAAAACCATAAACCTGAAGTTTAGTGACTTCTCCAAAACACCATATATCATACATATCTAACATACAATGGGCCATTGCCCAACACCCATTGGCCCCTCCCGGCATTGGGCCCCACTCGGAACAGATCTGTCAATATCATGAGATGGGCCCCGCCTCATCACATCCATCCGGCCCTGCCCGGTATATATATAGACACATAAACATATACAATAATCACTAAGACAAATAGCACACAATAAATTCATTAGGCCCTACCTGGCATCAGGCCCCACCCGGTATACATATCACATACAACTAATGCAAGAGTCACACAGACAACTAGTATCATATCTATAAAAAATCATGGGCCGATGTTGGTGCCTTCGACCTGCCAAGCACAGTGTGGAAACTCACGTCAAGCTGCCGAATATCTCAAATAAAAGCTTGGATGGCTGGCCCAGAAAATCCCTGTGCCAACCAATCAAATAAAGCCAACTAATAAGTTGGGCCATAAACCAAAGCCATGAATCTCATTCATCAGTCCAACTCCCAGGGTAAAAGACCATTTGACCCTTTCCTCACTTGCCCTAATAGCCAAGGCCCAACCAAACAACTCCAAAAGCTCAATATAGCCCAAAATCCTAAATGGGACTTAAAGCCCATTACAGCCTAATCATACAAGGCCTAATGTCCAACAATAGCCCAAAGTCCAGAAATGATCCACATAAGTTAAGGGTTAAAGCCCAAATAACCAAGCCCACAACTCCATCAGCGCACTAATTAGCGTACACTCGGTGTACCAGGCTTGTACACCATACGTATGCGATTGATCCGGAGACGAGGCTCTCACCCAGTATGCTCAGCGTACTCAGAAGTACGCCTCGCGTACTGGCCTGATTCCAAGTCCT